CCAAATTATAATCTACTCTAATGAGACTAATGTGTTACTCAACTAGTTACTCCAGCACTCCATAGACAACCAGCTATTCCAGTGCTTTCTAACCCTGCTCCACCTGTCAAATGTCTGCTTTTTTACTACTTGATTAACTCCCCTAATTTAACCAACAAGCAGATCAGTCTACTGTTCATCTTTAATTATTTACTTTTTCAGAAAAGCAGGTGTGTGTGTGTGTGTGTGTGTGTGTGTGTGTGTGTGTGTGTGTGTGTGTCTGTTTCTCTATTGCTGCATCAATTGTTTTGGAAACCCTTAATGCCAGAATTTTTAACTTGAAAGTTTATATACCTTTTGTACCCATTTATTGCAGAGTCCTGGAAAACAGCAAATACTAACAGTTGTGTGAACATCTAAATGTGCTTGTATTTTTGAATTGATATCAAAAGTCAAATGTGCTTTTAGTGATAAAATCTGGAGTTTTATTCTAGTGACTTGTAAATATACTTTGAAACAGTGCCATTTTTATTTGACTGTAAGAGGTCAGAATAGTCCTTTTTAACATTATAATGGTTGAGAAATTCTAAAATAGACAGATAGTTGCAGGATCTACTAGCCCTACCATGGCATAAAACTTTGAACATTTTTCAGAATATTATTGANGTTAATGTCTAAATAAGTAAGGGGATCATTACATCTATGTATCAATCATTCACGTCGGCATAAACAAGATATATGCAATAAGAAAAAAATTTAAGTGACAGACTAATATAATAAAGATTAAATAAACTTAATTTTCATAGAGCCTAAAGAAAATCTTTAAATATTTCATTTTGATTGCTAGTTGTTTCTACAAGTATGTCTAGGTTGACCAGTTGTTACAGTGCAATACCTTTGTTAGGGCTGCAATTCTCTGAGCCAGTTCAGCCTCTACTTCAGGTAATGTTTCAGCCTTTCTCATAGTCTGCTGCAACTTTTGCTCAGCCAGCTCAAGACGCTCTTGTAACTGTCTGTTTTTCTCTTCCATCTGAAATAGGAATGGCAAAAGAGAGACTCAAAGGGTCAGAGTTAGAATGGCAAACACTAGTCACTACGAGTTTTGTACTTCATGCATTACACTAGTTTAAAATCAGCCACTTAAATGTACAAAGTGTTGGTTGTATGTTTTTTATGTATTACTTATTCATTTTCTTTAATAAAATGCAGCACATTAAAAAAAAATAGAAAAGCTCTTACCACTGGCAGCAAAAAGAAAAGAAATTTCTAGTGAGTATAAATTTGAACAAATGAAATCAGTACTAAGACTTCAGATGTACCATAACAGCAATATTGAGATTGCAGTATTAGACTGAAGTAGGGGAGGGAACGTAGCGTGGTAATTAATAGTCCAAGCTCCAGTCAAAAGTTTGGGGTTGGCAAATTTTTTTGTATATCATATGGTCTCTGTCCTAAGTACTCAACTCTGCTGCTGTAGCACAAAAGCAGTCATAGAGAATGATTAAATGATTGGGCATGACTGTGTTACAATAAGACTTTATGTACAAGAGCAGGTAGCCAACCAGATTTGGCTGATGGGTCATGGTTTTCCTATTCCTGCTCTTAGAGCTCAGTAAACTTTGGCTTCCATCATAGGTTCTGGCTTTTACCAGTATGTGACTTTGGGAAAGTGTTAATGTCTCTGAACCTTAGTGTCCTCAGTATAATAACTGTACCTACTTTGTAAGTTGTGGTTAGAATTAAGTGAAGTAAAAATGTAAATTGTTTAGTACAACTTCTGGTTCATGTCTAGGTCTAAAATTATGATTATGATTATGATTATGATTATGATTATTATTATTATTATTA